GAATTTCACAGCCATGAGCGACGATTACTTGTTGTTGTCGTCACGGCAAGACGTAATATGGACAGTTCGTTTCCTTGGTGGGTTTATTTTCTTCTAAATTATAAAAATAAAATATTGATAGGTTGTGGATTTGATATATCTTTTGGGTGGTGTTCGTGTTTCTGTACTATTTTAGATAGTATATGCTTAGTAAATATAAATACCTATTTATTATACTTATTTTGTAAGGCAGGTAGAGAAAGACGTGAAAAGATATTTCTTTAGAGAGAGAGAGAGAGAGAGATATTACAGACTTCCGACACAGGCACACCAATAACCTGTAGAAGACAAGGACACAGTCTCATAAATTTGTACATCAAAACTTTCCTCCAGGTAGCGATGCTTTACAACGCGTCTAATTTTAATGCTAATAAAGTTAATTTTTTTCCCTCAACTAGCGATGCCAAAACGCAAATGAGTGTCACTCAAGCTACGACACAGAGGTGGTTGTTCAAGTGTTAGTAGTACACTAAGATTCAATTAGCTGAACGTATCCTAACCCAATCTGACCTAACGGTTCGATCCTCGGGCGCTCCCAGTTCACCCAGCTGTAAATGGGTACCTAAGTTTACAACTATGGGAACGTGAATGCGGTCGAGTGCAGTACCGGCCACGCTGCCTCCTTGTGTACCGAAGGGCGAAGGCTTGGTATACATTGTGCTGTATCCACACTGCACCCTTACGACCACTCATGCCTATGGGACCCACTTTCACTTTCTCACTATGTCTCATTCTCTATTTGTCGATCAATATATCTGTGTATCTATGTGCCTCAAGCAAGGCCCACCGGGAGACTGGTGACCCCTCACAAGGTGGCGCAGCTTATCCCAGGAACTCCTTTGTATTTGTGAACGATATTAAACCTATACTGTACAGGAGGTATTATGTGGGGTGTTGATCACTGCCTTGTGGTCCGTAGCTTCCTGCTGTAGTGTGTAGAAGGTGTTACTCACACACACATACACACACACGTGGTGGCAGAGGTGATAAGTTGTTATATAAAGAACGTGTTTACCTCCATGGTCAGACCTTCCCCTCCTTAACCAGGGAGCACACCACGGTCTCATCTGGGTCACTAGTCTGCACCCCCCTTCCATTTAATGCATTGATTATTATTATTATTATTATTATTATTATTATTATTATTATTATTATTATTATTATTATTATTGTCTTTGCACAAGATTCCTTTTGAAAGATAAAATGTATATAGGCAATACTTCAAGGGTCACCTACCCTGTAATTCGAGATGCAGTATGTGTGTGTGTGTGTGTGTGTGTGTGTGTGTGTGTGTGTGTGTGTGTGTGTGTGTGAGAATAAATAATTCATAACCGTTTATGAGATGGAAAATAATTATCACATTTTGATGATAAAATAACAGAAAAGTAAAGAGAATAAGAGACAACAGTTGAAGAAAAGATTGACAAAAAAATAACCAAGACCAAACAAGAGGAACAGGAGCGATGCAAGCCAGCAGGTACAGACCCAGGCAGGTCCCTTGGGCTACCTGACCCGCGACACACATCTGCTGCCTCGCCTTCAAACTCTTTTACTACCTTTATCTCTGCATCATTAACCTGCAGCTATCCACGGTGCCTCTCCCACATCCAGTAGTTCATCTTGGGGACAGATCAAAGATGATGTCGAGATAAACAGTGCGGATGATGACAACTGGAAGGAGGTCGGATGGTTGTCCCGTTGTGCTGGCGGCGAGTTGCACTGTATACTGCAGAGCATCACTTAATATTGATGACTTGCAAAACTTGAGTAGCGACTATTGTGGTCACCCATTCTGACTATCTCCTTCCCCTCCTCCCCCTGTACCCTTCCTCCATCTTTTTCTTACTTCCTACCTATTGGGAGGGAAGCTGGCCTGTCCTCATCAGAGAGAGAGAGAGAGAGAGAGAGAGAGACCGAGACCAAGTGATAATGGTGGTAATGACAGTGGTGGCAGGGAAGGAGGGCACTAGGTCTTTCTCACCGGCGAGGATGACAATCTTGCCTCATGCAACCCTGATATTTGTGCTCATTGCAGATAGATTACGATGACGTTATAGTACCTGCTATAATCCTCACGCCTAGATTTTGACGAGGTAAGCTGGATAAGACACAGGTGGAGGGTGTGGGTCAGCAACTTCCACACGAAATAAACCTCACTATTCTGTCATCAACATGTGTCCCGCCTGCTATTCTTGGTCCTACCGACGCCAGATTTAACTAATACAATTACGAGTTGTGTTTGGGAGGAATGTTACTCTGTGCTGACTGTTGTTCTTACGTGCCTGCACCCACAGTGGTGTTATGGTGTGATCTGGGCATTGTGTTTGCCAAGGCGGTCGTTCCCCCTAATGTGTTGAGATACCAGAGTGTCGTCCCGAGGTGAACCACCAATTGATTATATACACAGGTGTGTTATGAATGTAATGCATTAAATGATAATTAATTTATGTATTTATGGTATAATTAATAGAAGGGCTTAAGTTACTTTACTTTTATCGATATATTTATCCAGTATACATAAGAATGTTTGAACTAACGTGTTATTTTATTAGTTTATTTACTCACTGTTTTTGGCTCCAGTGAAATAAAATATTCTCAAGGGGGAAGAGCAACGGAATTGTGAGCTTGACTGAACTGATGTGACCCAACACGATGTTATCCTTGTGGTGCCAGCGTAGGTCACAACCTCCTTCCCGCACCATGACAGCTTCCTCACTATATATATATATATATATATATATATATATATATATATATATATATATATATATATATATATATATATATATATATATATATATATATATATATATATATATATATAAAAGAGAGGCCCTATGCTTCAACAGTCTTCTGTATTGAGTCACCTCTATTCATCAGGTAGTTATTGATATTAAAACAGTTTATTTAGCCAGAAAAACACAGATACAAAGTCGATAATAACAACTATTAACATGGCTGAGCCAGTTGAGCCAGAGCTCTCTTGTAGGCACCTGATATATCTCGAGAAAGTATTTATTTTTCTGTGGGATCAAGTCGAGGAGTTTCCTGTCATGGGCGTCAATGTTTATCACTGAAGGTTAGTGCTATAAGCCTGACGACTCGTTAGGAACAGTGTATATACCCAATGTGACGGTAGTAGCTGAGCACCGCAGCCATCGTCAGCATGAGGTCAATATCAGAGATGGGCAACATATGACATGGTTGAAATATTAAATGTAAAATATATATTGTACTGATAAGTCCCTTGGCTTAACACTTACCTTACTGTGTTATGGAAGAGATTTATCCCAGTTTGTCTAAGAGAGACAGACAGATAGACAGAAACGAAGGATGGATGTAACTTTAACGCTGCATAGAGAAGAAACCCACCCACCATCCTCACCTGGCTCACCTGCCACTTGTTGAATCGACACCTGCCTTAACCCATTCCCCACCCCACTCCTCCCAGCCCTCCCTCCCCACCCGCCGCCTACCCCTGCACCCCCTCGCTGGGCCGGCGGGGTCAGTCACCTACTTCCTCACCGCTGACTGCTGCACCCTGGCTACTCCTGTCCTGCTGCTGTTCTTGTTACCACTCCTTTTCTTAATCTCTCTCCTGTTACTGCTTAAAACTGATGTTATGAGTACCGTTATTAATGCTGTTGTGAGTACCGTTATCAATGCTGTTGTGAGTACCGTTATTAATACTGTTATGAGTACCGTTATTAATGCTGTTGTGAGTACCGTTATTGATGCTGTTCTGAGTACCATTGTTGATGCTGTTGTGAGTATCGTTATTGATGCTGTTCTGAGTACCATTGTTGATGCTGTTGTGAGTATCGTTATTGATGCTGTTCTGAGTACCATTGTTGATGCTGTTGTGAGTACCGTTATTGATGCTGTTTTGAGTACCATTGTTGATGCTGTTGTGAGTATCGTTATTGATGCTGTTTTGAGTACCATTGTTGATGCTGTTGTGAGTATCGTTATTGATGCTGTTCTGAGTACCATTGTTGATGCTGTTGTGAGTACCGTTATTGATGCTGTTTTGAGTACCATTGTTGATGCTGTTGTGAGTATCGTTATTGATGCTGTTCTGAGTACCATTGTTGATGCTGTTGTGAGTATCGTTATTGATGCTGTTTTGAGTACCATTGTTGATGCTGTTGTGAGTATCGTTATTGATGCTGTTGTGAGTACCATTGTTGATGCTGTTGTGAGTATCGTTATTGATGCTGTTCTGAGTACCATTGTTGATGCTGTTGTGAGTACCGTTATTGATGCTGTTCTGAGTACCATTGTTGATGCTGTGGTGAGTACCATTGTTGATGCTGTTGTGAGTATCGTTATTGATGCTGTTGTGAGTACCGTTATTGATACATTAATCCACAACACGATCAATCTCTCGTCTAAGATTCCTGTCACCTCGTTGTTGGCACTTGAAGGCTGACCTCAACGGGGATGGTGGGGGGAGGGGGTCATCCTCAAGGCTCTCACACTCACACTTGAACTCCATAGATGGTGTTGAGAGTTATAGATCAATCCATATGATTATAATTATCTGTAATATTATTGTTGTTATTTATTTATAATTTTATTTTTTACCGCTGTTGGTGAGTGTGGATGAAGCAGTGTTGCCTACATTATCGTGAGTCTTCCCTCCATTGAGTAGCGGGTACAAAACACTGGGATTAAGTTTCATTGTTGTATCATTATGTAACTATCCACATTGGGTACATTTACAAATGGTCACTCTTGTCTGTACAGTACTCATCTATACAAATGACAGGTATCAGTAGACAAATGTTGGCTGCCATTATCAGGGCAGCTAGTTCTATTACACTACAGTACCTTAACATGATTTTGGGTCTCCATTATTTATGCTGTACAGTTAATTTTATTATACTCTTTGTTCATAATTTGTTTCGTTAATTTAGTCATTAGATGTAATTTATTAATGTATTACGTAATGTTTGTTTCCAGAGGAGGATGGAGCGTTTAGTTCGGTGTGTGACCTTGGTGTTGCTGGCGTCTCTCCTGGCCGGCCTGGCTAGTAGTGCCAAATGTGTTAATAAGTAAGTTGCCATTAATATATAACCTACATATCGTCACCAGTGACAGTATACTGAAACTATTAGAATATGGAACAAAAACTCCAATTCTTATATAAAATAAAGAATTCCTGTTTCTTATTCCATAATTACGTAGCCAACAACGGGGTAGCTGAGTAATGTTTTTGGTCCAGTCTGTCAGTCTGTCCCTTAGATAACCCGACAATGGGTTTTACGGGTTCGCACCAAACTTGGTTGCTTGGATCAACATGACCACTGGACCAAAAACAATACCGTGGCCTACAGTTGCGGGCAGAACAATTAGGTAAATCCATTTCGAGCATTGAAGTTTCTCGTGCGATACTTGTAACCTAACCTAACCTATCCTATCCTTTCTCTGTTGTTGTGTTGACATAGTTCAGCTGTTGACATACATGTTCATAGTCACGATTCTCAGTACATGTAAATAATCCAGTCTGTCTTCACTATTGTGTTTCACCTGTGTTACACTCAGTGGGCGAGCCACCTGTACACATAAAGTGAAGGCCCTTGTACTGATTTGTATTATTATCTTGCACTGTACACACTAGCCTCCGTCACATTTGCATTTGGCAGCATCCTCTGTCACCCACCCGTCTGTGGGGCTTGGTTGTGCTTCCAGAGGTCTTTATTCCTTTTCCCTAGATATTTGTTCCTTGAAACGTCTCTCTCTTAATGTGTTGTTGCATCGCGTCCTATGTAGGTGGAATTCACTCCAGTGATCTTACTTAGTGAATATGAACTTCCTGCACTCAGTAACTCTGGTGAAGCTGTTCTTTTTCAGTCATTAATTCATATATAAACAGATATTATATACGTAGATAAATCAGATGAATCCTTCCTCGTTGTTGGCTTTGTATCTGAACTTAATTTTCCTTCCACAGGACCAGTAGCGGAATATTGTCTCGGAAAAAGAGGTTGATCTTCCTCTCATCAGAGCGACGTCTAACGCTACCACCGACCACCCTGCTGGTGCTGACGCCCACACTCAGCATCCCCCTCGCCAGAAACCTCCCCACAGGTTACGGTGCCTCTATGACCATCTCCATTCCCTTCAAGAGTAAGATGACCTCCCACGGCTTAGACACCCCACACATTTCAGAGTTTCTCACTAAATATAGTGGTGTTCTTGCGAGACTTTCTTGGTAGCATGTGATGTATATCTCTTGTGCCTCTTTCTTTCTTGTCAACTGTCAATTTCATCTCTTATAAGATCTGATGTAGTGTGCTGTGTGCGGTATCAGTGCTTGTCTGTGGTGTGTGTTCATGTTTTTGTGTGTGTTTGTGCGTGTGCGCTCAACGATATATTTGCTTATCTTATTTTATCTTCGTTGACTAGCCGGTGTGAAAGTCTCCTGCTTGTGAGACATCGTGTATGTGGTGTACGTCACACGCCTTGCATCCACGTGTACCTTACCTTACTGTCTCTCTTACCATCTTCAGGAATCTGGCTCAGGATTCTCAAAGACTTTCACCTTATATTTTTTTCATTCCTGACTGGGAATAAAATACCCAAAAATGGTCATATACACAGCTTGATGTCAACGTTATTTTGGTCATATTTGTGCCGTAGTTCAAGTGAATCAGATACGCTCTTACATATTCAAATGGAGGAAAATTTTACACCCAACTCTTTAAGAATCCTGGCTGTTCTGCTTATAATACTTCAAAACAAATATTTTGTTATGCAAAGGTGTTTAACTGCGTCGTAAACATGAATTGTGTATATAATTGTAGGCTATCTAATTCACCCTTACAGGCTTTCACAAACTTTATTTAATGCAGAAAGATGTTTTACATGCTTCCACTTTTGGTTGTGTATGACTGTGTGAGGCGGCCTTCAGTGGGTTAACATGCCTTGCCTTGGCTTTCATACATATTTGGGTCTTAGTTGGAGATTTAAAAAAAGCTTAAGCATTATGCCTTACCCCAGACTGAGCTGAGGATCAAGTATCAACAGAAGTTCTTGGGAAACTATCTTGATGATTATCTTGTACCAACTATTTGTGACCGAGACATTTAATGTGCCACAACAGTAGGTGAACGTTCAGGGCTACCCGACACCTTCACATGTCAGTTGTCGAGAAATGAAATTCTAATTGTTTAAAGTTTTTATCGCTTCTTGTAAATACTTGTGCAAGATAAATAGTAGCCTTTAGTGTTCACTTATAGATCTGACGATGTTTTAGTGAAATTAGAAAATGTGAAACTATTATTCTTCATATCTTCACATAAGCTTTTACTTGACAGTGACAACACTATGGAGAAGAGACAAGTAGACAAAACCACTGAACTTACCTGCTTCTAATTGACAACAAACTGATTGTCAGTATTTACATTCAAACTTTTAATTACTGCTACCCTGAATGAAGTTTTCTTTTCCATTGACAGCTCAAGACATCCTCTTGGGGACCCTGACAAAAATCATTTCAAAGTATTTACTTTTACTTGCTTTTTAAGTTAAGATGGCTGTAGCAAACCCTGATTTGACGACCTTTCTCTCACAGTTGCATTTGATGATCTTGGTTTGACCTCGGAAGAAAATCCTTTTGGATTTATCCCAACCTTCGGACTGTTTAGGAAGAAGCGTGAGGCTTTTTCTACTCTTCCCGGCATCAACTGGGCTGGTGGAGACAGGTAAGATGGTGATGGCAGAAGGAAATAGTGACGGACAGTTATAGTACACAGCCTCTGTACTATAGTAACAGGTTTTCAGAAGGTCGGTGAATGTGAAAAAAATAGGTGTGAAATGTGCAGGAAACTTGAACGAGCAACACTTGTTTCATCTATCTTGTAGATATTTAAAGTTACTGTCTCGTTTCCAGATTACAAATAAGTACAGAGATGAATGCAGTACATAGGAATAAATTATTTTACTTTCACTTTAAAATGACAACAGTAATTACTTAAACTGTTCGATGAGATACAGTTTAGTGTAAAGTATGAATGTGTCAGATAATATATGTGGAACTCTTGATGAAAGATACTCGTAGCCTTGGTGATCATTTTTGGTTTACTTTGTGGTTTGATATGTAAGGGAAGCTAACTGGACTGTATAGTATATGAAGTAAGTTGGTGACTTGAGCTGTTGAGATCAAGAGTTATGCCGAAATAAATGCCAGAAGATTTGTAGCAGACCTGAACAAGTTCGGTAAAGATTAGACGTGAAAGTTGAAGAATAAAAACAAAGTTGAATCAACTCACTGACTTAAAGTAAGAAAATGTTGATAAGCTTTGGTTGTTTCTCTCAGCTGGTGAACCAATGAGTTTCATGTTGGCTTTTGGGAGCAATTAGTCGCTTGGTTTATATAAAACGCAAGGAACGTAATAGGGAACCGTGTGTTACTCCTTTATTAATGACGAGACATTGTTAAGAAAGTTGAAGTGCTTCTGTTCTCCAAAATAGTCTGTAATGATGTTACTTTGCGGTTGAATTCACTTAACACCAAAATAAAATTATCGAGATTCGGAGCTTTAGCAATAATACTGTATATTCATCATCATCTAAAACGTATGGCTGAAGTTAAAAACGCTTCTGTCCAGCCCAGTTCAGTATGTTCTATGTTGTCTTCTAAAACAACACTGGTTTTGCCCAAACAGGTAATTGTTCCAAGATTCTACATGATTTTGCTGGCGGGCATTTTCTTTCTATAAGTTAACATTTTACAGAAAATATAGTCAATAAGTCATCCCTAAAAAAACACAAGTACAGTACAATATTCCCAAAGCTAATACAATGAATGAATATGATAACTAATTATCCTTTATAATACAATTAACGTACATCAGTGCCAAAGATTAATATTTTATACTGAATAAAGACGGTGATCAAACTTCTTATAAAAATTATTCTTTGTTCATACAGAGAAATGATGTACCAGGTAGTGGAAGACACACTGAACAACATGGGACTAAATGGAAAGGCTTGTCTCCTGAGGGCCATGTGTGAAGTGTTCCAGGTTCCATTAATTAACCATGGTTTCGTCGGCGAAGTTATGGAACTGTTCTTAAGGTGAGAATGAAAAAGATAATTCTTAATATCTTTTTTCCTAGTGTTAAGATTTATGTGGTAATTTTACTGGCAGGTCATATAGTGAAGGTAAATTCTTGCTTCTCTTTATTACTGTTACTTTTTCCTACAATTAAGTCAGATAATGGTCCCCTCCACCATTAGCTAACGTATTCCGCTGTGTCTGCTTTTATTGTCGACTATATTGCACAGGGAGGGGGGGGAGGGACTCAATTCACTATTCAACTGGGAATCAAACCCGTTTCTATTCGCTTTTGAGGCGAACGCTCTACCACTGAGCTGCTGAACTACTGTCATTAATTACTTATGACAGCTACCATTAAGACTATCAGATTAATTTTACTGATAGATAAGTTATTGATTCTGTATACGTGGCAACACTGCACGTTATGTGCAGTGTTGCCACGTGATAATATATATAAATGCTACTCGGCACAGTAGCTTATATACAGGGTTGCTACTCGGCACAGTAGCTTATATACATAACCTACAATGGTTTCATGTTAATCCTTAGCTAGATTACATATTATCGTTCAAGGTAAACTGGAGGTTTAAAACTTTGCAATAAATTTATTTTTCCCCAATTAAAACCATAATAATATTCTGGCAGGTTAGAAAAACTCCCTATTAATTTTAATCAACTCATTTAACTATGTGAAAACAAACAACAATTATGTATGAAGCAACATACAGTATCGTTAAATATTAACTTATTTTCATCTGTTAGACCAGATCATCTTCGTGTGTTCGTCAACTCAATTTTATGTCTTAACTCATTCTTATGTCGTATTCAGCTTATTTTTTGTCTTAATTAATTTCCGTATCTGAACTTATTTTCGTGTATTAAAGATTCTCTCTTCTCCCTCAGTGCTGGTCGTTCCCCCCATGCCGATAAGAGGCTGGGTGAGTACACGCTTGCAGAGAAGATTGGGAGGACTGTAGGGGACTGTTCTGACTATCATTACGAATGCCCGCACTCGTTATTCACCAACCCAGGACAGACAAAGTGGACGTAAGATCTCAGTTTTCTTGTTTTTCCTTTTTTTTTAAGATTGGATATGCAATAAAGTGAATATACATTGAAGCATGTGTTGCTGAAGATACCTATAGACTATGATTTAGAAGTACAGGGAATTTAATCTCATCTGTTTTTGAATATATATTTAGAAAACGAGGATCTCTTATCGTCACCCTGCTGTCGGCGGCGGCTTAATTATATCCGGAAGTTTCGTGTTTAACTTGGGAATCTATCGGAAACTTTCCTCCAGGCCTCACTTTTATATGGGGAATCAGTACAGTTTTCTACAAGAAAATGATTATACTGGTATTACATAGATGTCATTGCACATATATTAAATATGCAAAGAGTACTTACGAAGAGCTGCAGAAGGATCTCTGTGAGCTTCAAGAATGGTCGAAGAAATGGCTGCTGAGATTCAATGTCACGAAGTGTAAGAGGATGCACCTGGGATGTACCAGCGGTAAGGATGCGTATCATATGTCCCAACGGGACGAAGAGACTGCATTAAATGAGACGGAATGTGAAAAGGACCTAGGTGTGTACGTTGACAATGAACTGAAGTTCTCGGGTCATTGCGAGAAGAAGGTAAACCGAGCAACTAAGTTATTGGGTCGTATAAGAAGGTCGTTCAGATATCTAGATGGCCCATCCCTCGTAACGATCTTCAAGAGTGAAGTGCTTCCCCGCCTGGAGTACTGTCCCTAGATATTCTAGGGACTTTCAGCTGATTGAAAATGCTCAAAAGAGGGTCACCAGATTGGTGCCTGCACTGCGTCACCTCAGCTTGCCAAGCTTGTATTACAGACAGGCAAGGGGAAATCTGATTGAGGTGTACCAGCATCTCAGAGGGCAATACAAGGTCGAGTGTCCTTACCTAGAGCTGGCGGACGCTCGCCCCACAAGGGGACACAGCTCAAGGTTAAGCCGCAAATCCGGATAACTGTGAGGGGTAACTTTTTCGGAGTGAGAGTTGTGAACTCTTGGAACAATCTGCCAGAGAGTGTGGTGACGGCACCGAGTGTGAGCTCTTTCAAGACTAGACTTGACCAACACTGGAGCAAGTTCAGATACATTCAGGAGCCAGTGCATGCCCAGTACTTGCCAACAGTGCGTAACAGAAACGTAACCGATCGCCCAAGTGGCTAACGGGCCGATCAGTGGTGAATAGATTAAAAGAAAAGAAAAAAGAATAATAATGAAGACTAAATTTGCTAAAAAAAATATCAAATTTGTTCGGCGTCATTTCATTTACTTTGAATTGTCAAATGATATATAAAATTGATCATCGGCCGTGAAATAAGTTTGGATAATCCCCTCATGTTTTAATTTAATTGTAACTTGTAAATAAATTAGTTAAGAGTGTTTGGGTTACATTTAACATATGCTGAAATTCAGCAGACAGCCCTGCCAACATAAGCTTTACAACATCGTTAACGAGTACCACGTACTATATCAACTGGTGAAATTAAGGAAGCGAGGAGAATGATGAGGCTTGTAATACAGCGAATCTTTAATTAGCAAACCGAGGCGAGAGTCTTGTCTGGGTGGCACGAGGCGACAATGAAATGGCCAACTTAGTTTGTGACTTAAAATTTGGCTGAGGGCGGTCAAAGAAAGGCGGAACTCGCAAAGCTGTTTTCCATACTGCCCAATAAATACTCCACCTCCACGAAGCTGTAGCGTAATGTCAGCCTTACTTCTGTGTCACTAGTTTGATGGCTATAAAGGTTCCATCTAGCGAAGTTAGGACAGTCTTCTGGGTCACGAATTTGAGTTCCTAAACTTGCCGTAAAATGCACTGAAGCTATTTTCTCCTTTGTGTAGCTTTTCCCGCTATGACACAAGTTACCTCATTTGCTGTAATTCGTTTATTTCCTTCTCGTGGACTATCCATATTTACTCTTATGTTTGTATTCCACTATAATTAATAGTATGTCTCGGTTCACTTCCTGACACACTTACAGGTATGTAACCAAAAAAAATTCACACACAAGTGTTTTCTTGCTTACAGAGACGCTGAGCATTATATGGATGACAGTGAGGAGGAACCCAGTGATGAGGTAGAGGAAGAACCCATGGAAAAGAACACAATGAAAGACGAGTCCTCTTCAAAATCTAACAGTAAAAAGGCAACCATGAAAACCAAAAATATAAGAAAAACGACTGAGGAATATTGTGATTAATCTTCAGCAAATGTACAAAGCAAATAAAGACGGCATTCTCTGATTCATTGTCTTGAATTTTCAGTTATTACTCAAAGGTGATATTTATGATAGATTCAGTAATATCGTGTGAAATTTAAGTTGTGAATCAGTGACGAGACAGAATCCTGTTTTTGCATGCATTATGCCGGTTTCAGTATTTCTGTGATGTGAATATGCTGATACAAGATTGTTAGGAAATGTGTCTGTCTACATATTTAGTTTCTGCTTCAGTAGTTTAATTACGCAGGGCCAAGTTAACCCTGTGCAGTTTGCTAGAATTGCCAAAATGAAGAACTAAATAGAGGTCGACTTCTTTTGAATTAATAATTGCAGTGGATTGTATGGTTGGGGAAACTGTTGTTGTTGTTTTTTTGTTTTTTTCATTTCCTTCACAATATTATCTTGATTTATTATTGTAGAATGAGAAACTGTAGATATACAGTATGAAATTCCATACCCGTACAGTCAAAACTAGCAAATGCTATATTTCTTCCTAATAGTTTAATCAACATTTCAGTGAATTGCTGCACAAACAGATATGCTGTACATGTCAGTAAATTGCTGCGGGATGATTCTGCATATTAGTGAAGTATATAGTATATAGATGTATATGTCAAAACAAGCCTGCATATACGTATGAGTGTCAGTAATTTTCTGTGCAGTATAAACAAATGCGCATATCAGTTTATTGTTGCATAAACAAATGTACTCATCAGTGAATTGCTACATCTACAGTACAGTATCTGCCCTACTGAGTACAGTTCATCACGTTTATGGATATGCAAACTTTTTTCTGTAAATAGTAATGTACAATTAATGAAGAAATTTGATTCATATACGAATGTGCAATTATTATCTGTAACCAAAATTTCGGTGTTAAAAGATCAATAGGACGTATCAGGTTTTTCAAGTTTGTCTTATTGAGTTTTGTTTTAGCAAAAACTTTAATGTCTCAGGAATTCTCCAACTGACTTTTAAAACAGACACATTTTCCAGGGTATTAGAGTTTATGGTGGCATTTTTTACTTACAAGTCTTGGGCATCTTATTTATTGAATGTTGTATTGTATAGAAAAATGTAAGTTGATTGCTGAGAGACACAGATAAGTTGGCATTCTTATTGTTGTGCTTTGTTTTAATCACACTTACCACTGTGTTGTCATTGATTTTAAAGTTTATTATTTATACGCGTGGTAGTTAACTGTGTGTGGTAATTCTTTGTCTTTTTTGTGACTTGAAAATTGAGTTATTTTTGTGAGAGATCAGAAATATTATCATAGTTCCAGAACTATGTCATGTTGTAATCATTTTAGATTGCTTTACAGGATTTTTTGCACCATCTCTGAAAATATTATACAATATTTTTGTTAAGTTTTCTGTCAAGGAGTTTTTTATTTTACCTCTTTAGCAAGAGGTTGTTGATGTTTGTATTTATGATTTAGTTTAAGTATTTATAAATAATAAATTATGTTGATAGAAGAGGTTGAAGAAGATATGTTTGTATCTTTTATACACGACTTATCAGTTGTTTTTTTTTGCAGTATATATCAAAAGAATATATCAAACTTAATTTTTGTCACAGTGCCATACAAGATAATCAATTTTCTGAATTGTGTAAATGTGAGTTTGTGTACATCTAATGATAACTATATTGGCCAGATCCAAGAAATTGTACAAAAGTATCAATATTGAGTTAGAGGCATATTAATGGCCGAGACGGATGTGCTGTACAAATAGAATAAAACAAACTTCATTGAAATGAACTCATATTTACTCCTTATTTGACCAGTTTTCGATTCTTTTTTGGTCATAACTCGGCTGTTCATGACCGATGTTTTGTGACTTGGGCATAATCAATCTTTAAGAGGATGTACAAATAAAATAAACAAACGCCAGTGATAAACGAGCCACGTTACCCATATTATGACCGCCTTAGTACAGTACATCAGGTTGTTAACTTATTTTGGGCCAGAGCTCAGCTGTTAATGATCGATGTTTGTCACACCTTTCTTGCATCACCTCACGTACGCTGCTTAGAGTCCGGGAGCTCAGATTCATCTGTTCAATATATTCCTGAAACTGGGGATAAGATAAACATACCCAATTATGGTAGAAGCTCAGTACAATATCAACACCGTTTTCTTGCCGCAGTTTAGTGATCCCGAGCCAGATACAGTACGTAGATCCACTCACACCACCAATCAGAGAAAAAGTTTAACATGAGCCTTGAAGAATGTTTGCCTTGGCTTACCAAAATGACTTGCAAGATTGATTTCATTCAATTAATTAATGGAATAAAGTTCTTCGTAAAAATACAATTATGTTATTAATTTGTGAACGGTTAGAGCTGTAATAAATATCCTTTCACAGGTGACCGTGTTATTAGAATAAAGTTTTACAAATTCATTACAGTACTTAATATTTTGTGTGGGGGACTTTCTTAGAACGAGTTATTGGATGGTATTGTGGGGTTTCGAGATGTTGGTTCACACTCAGGATGGGTTGGAGAAAGGAAACTCACAATGCGCTCTCTGTACATTTATTGTATTGGATGTACAGTGCAGCTTGGTGCTGGGAAGTTGCAGCGTGGTTGGAAGCTGGAGTAGAGAGCTGGTTGGTGAGAGGCTTGCTCAGAGGAGGTGTTGCGTGCTGCATGGCTGTAGGTAGAAGAAGGGGCAGGTCACGGCGAGGTGAGGTCTTATATAGCGGAGGTAGGCGTGGCTTGATGGCTGACCTGCGCTTTGTCAGACGTCGCTAGTAGCCGACCTCAGACCACGAGAGACATTGGCTGGGTAACCCGAAAAGGGATCGACTAGTCAGCGACAAACGGCAGTTGTAGTTGTAGGGGAAATTTCCACTACAGTATCACAGGTCGTTATGTATTCAACTAACTGAATTGTTTATTCTCGTAATTTTATGTATCATGTAGGTTGTATTTTCAGTAATATTGTATTGTATTTATTAATTTCTTTGTTTTTTGTGTTCCTTGTCCTTCCATTTCAATTTTTTCTTTTCTTTATTTTTATGTCCATTATTGCATTTTGCCTTTTCTTAATTCGCTATTCTTGCGCATCATTTTACTTTTCCCATACTTAACCTCCCCTTCCCCTGCTTACCTTCATTTTTCCCTGCTTACCCTCCCTTTTCCTTGCTTACCCTCCCTTTCCCCTGCTTACCTTCCTTTTTCCCTGCTTACCCACATTTTTCCCTGCTTACCCTCCCTTTTTCCTGCTTAATCTCCCTTTTCCTGCTTACCCTCCCTTTTCCCTGCTTACCCACCTTTTTCCCTGCTTACCCTCCCTTTTCCCTGCTTACCCACATTTTTCCCTGCTTACCTTCCTTTTTCCCTGCTTACCCACATTTTTCCCTTGCTTACCTTCCTTTTTCCCTACCCACCTTTTTTCCCTGCTTACCCTCCCTTTTCCTGCTTACCTGCTTACCCTCCTTTTTCCCTGCTTACCCTCCCTTTTCCCGGCTTACCCACATTTTTCCCTGCTTACCCTCCCTTTTTTTCCCTGCTTACCCTCCCTTTTTTCCCTGCTTACCCTCCCTTTTCCCTACTTACCCTCCCTTTTTTCCCTGCTTACCCTCCCTTTTTTCCCTGCTTACCCACCTTTTTCCCTGCTTACCCTCCCTTTTCCCTACTTACCCTTCTTTTCTCTGCAGGGAACGAAAAATATGAATGATGATTAAATTTCAGTAAAAGGAACGTGTACAGAGCTGGGTCAGCATGATAAAATGTAATTACAGGTGATGGTGAACTGGATTTAATTGACTCGCTGGTCCTAGAAATAATTGTAGATAAAAGAATAAGTGTCAGTTCGTCTGATATTAAAACAAATCCAACTGCCAATGCGGCATTTACAGTAAGTTATACTGTACTGAGATTCGGTCGAAACTAGATGCGTTGTCTTATCACCAGTTACGGGGGAACATTTACTTTCAAATCTTTAGGAATTGGATACTTGTTATGCATACTTATTCTGTACTTCCTTTAATACATTTGGAATACTACTGTCACTTGTCATAACTTGTAATATCACTGTTATATTTGTACTTCTGTAATCTGTCTTCTGTATAGGCTCATTAAAAGCAAACTATGAAAACATTGGTTGCGGGTCAAATGGACCCCAGTCCAAATAGGCCCTAACCTAATCATTAAGATGAAATCCATTCGGACTGAGCCCTGGCCCTGATAGTTAAGTTTAAGTTGAGGTTTATTGGGGCTCTGAGGCCTATTTACCCTACCACCGAAGGCACCACAGTAGGTCGCACCCATAACGTGTATGTTCAACACTAATCATTGTCATGTAAAATATTCATATGTAACATCCAGTAGGTTTTTAATTCCTTGTAAATGTTATTTGTGCTTTTATTTTATATTTATTATACTTGTTATTTGTTAAATAGTCAATAAAATGTTACGTTGTACAGTGTTCATTCTTGTGTACCAATTTATGCCTCTACAATTGACTGAGTGTTTGCCATTTCAACACCGAGAATTAGTGTGACATTTTGTGTTTCCAAAATCAGTGTATGCCATTGTACATACTCAGATACTATACATCCTGAATTATAGTTTATGCCATTGTATGTACTAAACATTAAAGTATACTGTATACTTTTTTAAGCGTCCAGAATTAGTAATTTCCATTTAGTACACTTAAAAATCCCCAAATGCCATTTCATACTTAAGAATTTCGGATTTTAAGAACACATTTAACGGATTTATTGATCTACTATACGTCCCATAATATCCTCCACTTTAGGCAGCGGACAGGCTGTACGCTGGAGACCTCTCACTCCTTCAGGAACAGGAGCCCATTCGATACGAAGATATGTGGGGAGGTGGCAAGTTGGGGAGATATCGTAATCATGAAAAAAGATCTCCATGAGCTCTTCAATTTGTCGCAGAATTGTCAGGTGTATTTTAACCTAGCAAAAAGTAAGCCTGCGTATGGGGCACAATAACCCAAAACAAGACACTCTGTCAAAGACATTTTATTGATAATGGTAAAAAAAAAAATCACCGAAAGCAACACAAAAGTGATGAATAGTTTGGCAGTTGTAAGACTGGGTGACAAGATATTCAAAAGCATGATGAATGTCTATAAATTTATTTTGCATGGTGCAATTCCAACTCTCAAGACGTTTCGAATTAATGTGAACCATTGTTTGTTCATGGAACAAAGATGTGGCAGCCACACCCTGATACCCCAGTAGATTACAAGGAACCATCAGCTCATGAGAAGTGAGCACTGAAGACTTATCAATCTCGAGGGTAAGTTGGCTTGAACGTTCGGGACACTCACCGTCCAAGCCAGGAGAGAGAAGACGCTGGTTCCACACCGGCTGTAATTATAAATATTTGGCTACGTATTAGCCATTGAACTCCTTAATGTCCACATCTGTCTCATTAAATAGAGTGGTGTAATTGCTGTGGAGATAAGGGACAGGAAAGTTGTCAAGCGTATCAAGCAGAGTACGTTCAACTTTGTATCTGAATGCAAACTGAGAAGACGAGCATCAACAGCTAACAGGCAGCCAGTGGAAATATCCTTGACATGAATCGACATACTGTTTACAGTTGTCAGTATGCTGTACTTATATATATAAGCTAAACAAATGTAGGTTTTTGTCAATTTCTGACTGGTGTTATTATCAGTGAAACCCAAAACTTCTCGTGTCATTAGTTTTAGAAATATATGAAGCACTATATAAAAGCTTAGTAATGGTTTATTAAAAATTATATTTAAAAACAACAATAAATGATAACACTGGTAAAACATTCATTAAAAAATAAGATAATGGGGAAAGCTGATATGAAACGTGCGTGGGTATACACACACACACACACACCGTTATGTTAAGAGTAAAATTTTACTAATTTATTTTATCCTTTCATTACATTATATGACTTCGTTTTATCACAACAATTTTCCGTGTTATGATAGTGGATGTAGTTTATATTTATAGTCACTATTGCATATAAACATTTATACTCACGGTCGTTCTCCTTTTCTTAGCCGTCGCGCTGTGATTGGTTAGGGTCCAGCCTGAAAAACGATGCGGATTGGTTAAGTCACATTGTTGTTCTTGATGTGAGACGAGCAACACGTGTTAAGTGCAATGTTCCCTCCAGACGAAGACGACAAAATTTCGAAACCTGTATTGACGAAGAGGAAGTGTGTCATAGAGGATGTTATTATGAGAAACACAAGGAAAGTAGAACCATTATTTGGTAAGTTCTATTTAGTAGCTTATTTTATTTTATTTATTTTTTATACTGGATTCAGTTACGGGGGTTAGGGTCATCTCGTACTCAAGGTAAATCGTCCGCGACTCAAGAGGTAAGTCGTACCCAAGATTACTTACACCCAATTCAAGAGATAATCCATACGGAAACAAGACCAGTATGAGTAACATAACGACTTGATTATGAGTCACTCAATACTCATGCTCTTCCTATTTAGAGAGAGAGAGAGAGAGCAGACATACTTACTCTTAATTTGATAAGGTCAAATAAACACTTTTAAAAAAAAGTTGGTAAATTTGCACTGGCACACCCCACTCTGTTAGAAAGTAAAAAATATATGTTTCTATTGTATTTGTGTGTTTAGACCGAATATGACCTTCATTTCCGTCGGAAATTGCCCTTTTTTTTTATCGATTTTTTTTTTTTTTGTGGGACGTTGCCGAAAAAAATAATGGCTAAGCGAATAAAAAATACACCAAAAAACACTAGAAAAACAAATACCAAACCTAACCTAACTGACTCTCACCATATGATGGAATCACCTATTTCTTACCTTATTGGCCTGTTTTTTGTTCGTCGTTGGATTCTGAGATTCTTACACAACGCCACATATGCTGCCCTTTGCGATATTTACATTCAGTCTTGCACTTAGGACACTTTACTGAGGTTGGAAGAACACCATGCGATCCAAAAACTGCTATAGTGTCTTCGTTTTTTCCCAAAAACTCGCAATCAGCTCCATATAATTTAAGTGACACCCATCACAGACTTCCACAGTTGGAAATGAATATGAATTTGGAAATATGAGAGACCCAAAATAAAAATCGATTTTGATTGGGCCAAAAATACCGCGAATTAAACCAAAAAACATTTTAATTACTTGCAAAGTAAAAAAAAACGCTTTTGATTGGTCACGTGACGTGTACGGGAACGCATGCGCGGGATGATTTATTAAGGAGGCACACAGTCTGGGAGGTGAGGCAGGCAATAATGGCGGAAGATTAATGGAAGAAAATATAAAAAATTTTGGATATGCTATCTCCGTTATTATACATTTCCGCCGGTAATGTAATAGATGAAAATTATCTTATAATTAGATGTCTTATTTGAATATGATAATAGATTAGTGGTAGGAATGTGGGGTGTGGAAATGCAATAATACCAAAAAGTTTTATTCATATATTAAAATCAACCTTGTCCATATATATATATGGGTACGAACTGTCTCGTAAATTGGATAAGGAACTGTCTCGTAAATTGGATAAGGAACTGTCTTGTAAATTGGGTACGAACTGTCTCGTAAATTGGGTATGAGTTATCTCATATTTGGGTATGAGTTGACATGTTCTGATGGGTACGAGTTATCCAGCACCCCAGGTACGGCAGCCGTATTGATGGATAAGAACAGAAGAATGGGGGAAACTGCAACGGACATATTGGCCCATATTGGGCAGTCTCATTTACACCCAACCCCTATTTCTCATACATCCATTCAACCTATGTTTGAAGCTATCCAGCGTATTTGAGTTAATGATGATATTTGGTAACTTGTTACACTCATCCACTATATTTACAGACCAGTGTTTACCTATATCGTGCCTAAATCTAAATTTGTCTAATTTAAAACCATTGCTATGAATTTGCTCCTGGTTGGATAGTTTGAGTACCTTTGTTATATCACCTGTTTAGCCCTGACTTCCAATTGTACACCTTGATCATATCGCCCATCACTCTACTTCCCTCGAGGGAGTGCAAATGAAAATGCTTTAACCTGTCTCTGTACTCAAGGTTCCTAATGCATGGGATTAGTCTTGTCATTCTCCTCTAAATTCTTTCAAGGGATTCTATATCCATAATGTATGGTGACCAGAACTGAACTGCGTAATCCAGGTGAGGTCTCACAAGTGCAAGATATAGTTTTAGGATAAGTTATAGTAGTCTTAGGATTGTTGTTCGGGTGCTGGACTGCTCGTATTCAAGCAAATCATACCCAATTTATGAGACAGTTCGTACCCATACAGTGTGTGTGTGTGTGTGTGTGTGTGTGTGTGTGTGTGTGTGTGTATATATATATATATATATATATATATATATATATATATATATATATATATATATATATATATATATATATATATATATATATATATATATATATATATATATATATATATATATATATATATATATATATATTGATAAAATCACACAGGGAAAATGGAAACAACGGAGCACCTTAGCTTTCGTCTTTATTCAAGACATCTGTTGCCTCTGAAGATGTCTTGAATAAAGATGAAAGCTAAGGTGCTCCGTTGTATCCATTTTCCCGTGTGATTTTATCAAGATTTATCTTATCCACGTTTTCATTGTGGATTTACATGAAATATATATATATATATATATATATATATATATATATATATATATATATATATATATATATATATATATATATATATATATATATATATATATATATATATATATATATATATATATATATACACAGTGGGGTATGCTATAACGAATCTAATTGGTTCTAGAACCTTGTTCGTTATAGGATTAATCCGTTCCAGGCCCCCAAATACAACCACTTAACACTGAAAAATAAAATATAAAATTGTAAAATTTGTAAAAAAGTGCATAAATATGCATCTAAACCCCTGAAATAAAGATTATCATTAATACTTGTAATAAAAAAACAATAAATTAGTAAAAAAAAAAATTAAATAATGTTCGTTGTAGGAGTTTCGTTCGTTATAGCGTTCTCAATTTTATAGGTAAAACCGTTTGTTATAGTAATATTCGTAGTAGGATCCGTTCGTTATAGCATACCCCACTGTATATATATATATACTGTATATATATATATATATATATATATATATATATATATATATATATATATATATATATATATATATATATATATATATATATATATATATATATATATATATATATATATATATATATATATATATATATATATATATATATATATATATACACACACACACACCTTCGTATGTATTGCAGCGTATAAGTCGACTGCAGAACTTCCAAACTACAAAGCGGCATCCCTTTGATCGTCCGACGTCACGTTCTTCGATAGTCATGTATTCCAGCCAGGTTATTCGGCAAATTTGTGATATGTGACGTCGGATGATCAGAGGAATGCCACCTGCAGCGTATAAGTCGACTGCAGAACTTCCAAACTACAAAGCGGCATCCCTTTGATCGTCCGACGTCACGTTCTTCGATAGTCATGTATTCCAGCCAGGTTATTCGGCAAATTTGTGATATGTGACGTCGGATGATCAGAGGAATGCCACCTGGGTCACCGACCGTGCCAATCTCTCATTTTTGGAAGTCCATTAATCCTATGTGTGAGTTCAGTTTTGGATATAAGTTTGGGCTTCCTATTCCTAGATCCAGTTCCTTAGCATAGCGGTAAAAAGCCTTTGGGTTTGACTTGACCTCGCTTGCAACCAGCCTCTGGAACTCCTTTTCAACCCTTCTACACTCTGACTTTGCTTGGTTCCTGGCTCTTGCATACGTCCTCCTGTCCTGTTCATTGTTTGCAGTGGTGGGCACGCTAATCCGCTAACCGCTAATTAGCGAAGCTAACTTTCTCGGTAGCGGATTAGCATTTTCGCTAACTTTGGAAACCATTAGCGGACTAATTAGCTTCCGCTAAATTTAGTTCCGCTAACTTTAAGTCCGCTAACAAAATTTATACATGCTTGTTCCTCTCTTTTATAAGCGTGTGTGTCATGGGTTGCGTTAGGCTTACCCACGCAACCAACTCCAAAGTTTGTTTTACCAGAGATAAGACGCCCGGCGAGGCATAACTGGGACATGTATTTTTCAATTAGTGTATGTTAGCCAGCCTTTAGGGGGGTGGGCAGTGAAACAGTGTTGTACTGTTCATCGCTTCACACCCAAAAACCTCATTTTAAGTAGTATCCCCTGATCCATGGGTTAGTTAAGACGTCGTCTCCATCCTCTCCCTCCTGAAAGGGGGCGGGACACCACACCACACAGAGTCCTCCACCGCCACTCCGTCCTGTGAACCGTCGTCGACACGAGACTAAGCGTGTTAACCTAGGTTGTTATCCCCGTGGAAATATCACGTGTGGATGCCTGGTTGCGACAAGAGCAATCCAGGCTGGCCTATCAAACCTACAGTAAATGGTTATATAATTCACGCTTACAGAGTTCTCCTGCACGACACCCGTCTACCGTGACCGTGTTCGACACGAGACTAAGTGTGTTAACCTAGGTTTGTTATCCCCGTGGAAATATCACGTGTGGAAGCCTGGTTGCGACAAAAGCAATCCAGGCTGGTCTATTGCACCTAAATGGTTAATTCAAGTCACGCTTACCAGTTCTCCTTCCAACCAGTGAGGAGACTATGTGTGGTAGTACCCCGTGGGAAGAAGTTCTTGTGATGAAGCCTGGTTGCAACAAAAGCAATCCAGGCTGGCAGTAAATGTATCACTTGAAGAATTAAGGCTCTATTAAGTCATACCACAGTAGAGTAATCACATGTGTCCCCAAGTTGGAAATTCCCTGTTTTAGCAGATTAATTTTATTACAGCGTGAGTAAATCATATATCCATGCAAATTGTAAATCATTGTATGGAAGCTTGACAAATAAATGTAAGTGCAATTATCTGCCCGTATCTGTGATCCTATCTTATTATTACTAAAGGTAATGACTGATTGGTTATGACAAAGTATAACCAGTAACTTAGATAGATGTTGAAAATTAAATGAATTCATTAAATCATCATTTATCTAGTATAAATCATGGAATGTCGAGTGGTGGAGTGAACTTCTACGTAGATACTCCATAATCGCCTGTAAGTAATCAGTGTGAAGGTATCGGACTCTACGGTAAGAAATAAGAAATACGACATATTATTATCTTTATATAATATAATCCACTCCTACTACCACCGATTCATACCAAAACCATG